CAACGTCGTAACAAAGTAAGAAAAAAACATTGTGATAACGTTATATGCTTGTTGCCTAAATGGCGTCTGCACCAAAGTATTCTGAGCGTGAGACACACTACACCAGTCAGTGTTGCACACTCAGAGCCCCCTGGGGGGGGGGGGGGGGGCAGCAGGTATAAATGTGTAGGACACAGGCAACATTCATTTGCATATGCAAATAAGCCGAAACAATACGCCACTGGCCTTATATTCACGTTCAGGGATGAGCATCACTGCTGTCATCTCCCTTAGGGAGGTTTGGGGCCTCCAGCGGCGTCCTCCAAGCCCTGAAGGTGTCTGCTACAAGAACTGGGCGGAACGTGTTGTTGTTGTTGTTATAGATTCAGCTACTCGGAACAAGTCCCAAGTAGCACGGGCTATGGTGAGCCCGTAACTTACCTGGCACAGGAGCGGTGCTGTGTGTCTCTGTGGGCGAAGCCTAACGAGAAGGAATGTCATGTAAGGGGACGAAAGCTGACTGATGTACGATAACAAACACCGCCAGGGGGACCAAGCTGCCTGATGCATGATAACAAACACCGCCAGGGGGACCAAGCTGGCTGATGCACGATAACAAACACCGCCAGGGGGACCAAACTGGCTGATGCACGATAACAAACACCGCCAGGGGGACCAAACTGGCTGATGCACGATAACAAACACCGCCAGGGGGACCAAGAGGTACGATAACAAACACCGCCAGGAGGACCAAGGTGACTGATGCACGATAACAAACACCACCAGGGGGACCAAGCTGACTGATGCACGATAACAAACACCGCCAGGGGGACCAAACTGACTGATGCACGATAACAAACACCGACAGGGGGACCAAACTGACTGATGCACGATAACAAACACTGCCAGGGGGACCAAGCTGCCTGATGCACGATAACAACCACCACCAGGGGGACCAAGGTGACTGATGCACGATAACAAACACCACCAGGAGGACCAAGCTGGCTGATGCACGATAACAAACACCGCCAGGGGGACCAAACTGACTGATGCACGATAACAAACACCGCCAGGGGGACCAAGCTGACTGATGCACGATAACAAACACCACCAGGGGGACCAAGGTGACTGATGCACGATAACAAACACCACCAGGAGGACCAAGCTGGCTGATGCACGATAACAAACACCGCCAGGGGGACCAAACTGACTGATGCACGATAACAAACACCGCCAGGGGGACCAAGCTGCCTGATGCACGATAACAACCACTGCCAGGGGGACCAAGCTGCCTGATGCACGATAACAACCACCGCCAGGGGGACCAAGCTGCCTGATGCACGATAACAACCACTGCCAGGGGGACCAAGCTGCCTGATGCACGATAACAACCACCGCCAGGGGGACCAAACTGACAGAGACAAAACATAGGTAACGAAGGACCCAGCTGAGATAACCTCCCCCACGGACTTCACCCAGCCGTTACCAAGCCCATTAACGTGGGAGGAACACCAACGCGAGTGTATGCGATGACCTCTGAGCCTTAACGAAAAATAGGCATTAAAAAACCAATGGATATATTGATATCAAAGATTTAATATTTGAAGACATTGACCACGTTAATAGAATCGGTAGAAATGTCACCCTGAAAAAGGGGTCCTCTGCTGTAATAGGTTACATAATAGCGAACAGGATTACAGAACTCGGTATTAGAAACGCAATCCCATTGTTCGGGGGATTTTTAATCTTAATATTATTTCATTTTATCGGGGACAGGCAGTGTGTGATTCCCGACTCATAGTCGGGAATCCCGGGGTTCGAATCCCAGATGGGACTGAAATAGTTGGGCAAGCTTTCTTTCACCCCTTGCTTCTGTTCACTTAGCAGTAACTAGGTACATGAGAGTTTGCCAACTGTTGTGGGGTTGCATCCTGGGGGGGGAGGGGGGAAGGGTCGACCATGGGGGAAAGGGTCGACTATGAGGGGGGGGAAGGGTCAACCATGGGGGCAAGGGTCCCAGGTAGTCCCTTACCTTTCTGTATTCCTCTTTCCTGTAGTCAACTCTCCTTTCCCAGACCTGTTGTCCCGTGGTCAAAATTTGAAGTTCCATCATGAAGTCAAAGACTAGGACACAGTGGTCACTGGCTCCTAGTGGTATTTCATGTTCCAAATTCTCGATGTCTTCTACGTTCTGGGTGAAAAATCAGGTCTAATAAGCTCGGTGTAACCCTTCTTCTTCCCCTTGTGTCTTTCGTCACATGCTATGTTAGGAAATTCCTGTCTATAACGTCTTGTAACTTTGTTCCCCACGTTTTCTCCCCACACTAGGGATTCCTTCATTCCCAATTGACCTCTACATGATTTAGGTCCCCCATGACCAGCAGTTTCGCTCACATTCTGAGATATTGTTGCTGCCTTCTGCAGTTCATCTATACATGCCTTGTTGTTGTCATCATACTCCTGCCTGGGCCTACTACTGTTTGGTGGGGGATTGTAGATTACCAAGATCACAATCTTCTTCCCATCTACTGTCAAAAGCCCATGTATGAAGCTTGTGCTTTCATTAGTACCTTTATTTTCCAGGTTTTCAAACTTTCATTTCCGTTTTATTAGGAGTGCCACTCCCTCTCCCTATCTCTGCCTCCTTTGTTTTCTTATCACTTGGTACCTCCTCTGGAAAAATTGCATCCGATATCATGTCATATATATTAGTTTCCACTATTGCAACTATGTCTGGATCTGCCTCACTAACATTTTTTTATCTCTTCTGCTTTATTGGATACCTCATCAGCATTGGTTTACCAAACCTTCACTCTTCTTGGAAACTCTGGTACGAGAGTTCACCCTTTCTTTGGGTAAAGATGATGTCTGAATCTGGGGTGTGAATGGGGTTTGGGCAGCTAGGGGGGGGGGGTCGAAAGGGCATACCTGGTTACCTGGTTACCTGGTTGATACCTGGTTGATACCTGGTTGATGGGGTTCTGGGAGTTCTTCTACTCCCCAAGCCCGGCCCGAGGCCAGGCTCGACTTGTGAGAGTTTGGTCCACCAGGCTGTTGCTTGGAGCGGCCCGCAGGCCCACATACCCACCACAGCCCGGTTGGTCCGGCACTCCTTGGAGGAATAAATCTAGTTTCCTCTTGAAAATGTCCACGGTTGTTCCAGCAATATTTCTTATGCTTGCTGGGAGGACGTTGAACAACCGCGGACCTCTGATGTTTATACAGTGTTCTCTGATTGTGCCTATGGCACCTCTGCTCTTCATTGGTTCTATTCTACATTTTCTTCCATGTCGTTCACTCCAGTACGTTGTTATTTTACTGTGTAGATTTGGTACTTGGCCCTCCAGTATCTTCCAGGTGTATATTATTTGACTATATATTATTTGAGATTATTTGGCATAATGGGTCTGAAAGGCATAGGGGGGGGTGGCGGGTTGAGAGGTAGAGTGAGGCTGAAAATCAGATGGAGGATGAGAGGGAGGGGTGGAGCAGGAGAAAGGGGGTGTGGGGAAGGGGGGACCATGGAGCATGGGGGTGTGAGTAGAAGAGAGGTATTAGTCATGGGGGGAATCAGGAGGTAGGTGAGGGTTTTGGGGATATATGGGGAAAAGAGGAAAGTGGGGGAAGAGGGAGGTGGGGGCTGAGGATAGACGGGTCTATCCTCAGCCCCGCCAAGGATAGACCCGTCTATCACGGGTCCTGGGGGCCACCAGTGGTGTAGTTAGGGTGTGGCAGCACAACACGGGTCCTGGGGGCCACCAGTGGTGTAGCTAGGGTGTGGCAGCAGAACACGGGTCCTAGAGGCCACCAGTGGTGTAGCTAGGGTGTGGCAGCAGAGCACGGGTCCTGGGGGCCACCAGTGGTGTATCTCGGGTGTGGCAAAGTTAAACAAACTATCCTTAGTTAAAAAAGATCTTCAATTGTGTGATCTGTCTTTGATTGTATTATTATTGTGATTGTATGTAGTTAAACGTATTATTTCCTACCGTTAAGCGTATTGTATTTAATGGTTAAATTGCATTTTATTATGTTATGGTAAAGTTGTGTTTGAGATGATATCAGAGGTTTGGTCAGGAACACAAACTCAGCGCTTGACATACGCGCTATTTTCCTTATATACGCCTCTGGGAATAATATATAGCATTTTGACGTCAAAATCCCCAATGACCTAAATATGATGTATTATAAATCATAATTGGTCACAAACATTCACGTTTTCTACATGTGGGTCATTTGGTTAGGCTAGGCTGGGCTGCGCTAGGCCAGGCTAGGCTAGGCAAGGCTAGGCCAGGCAAGGCTAGGCCAGGCTAGGCCAGGCTAGGCTAAGCTAGGCTTGGCTAGGCTAGGCTAGGCTAAGCTGGGATCTAGTATTTTGGTTCACCATTTTCTATTCGGACAGGCCTGGGGACGGAGGGAGGGGGGGGGGGAATGGCACGATAATTGACCTCATTACCTGACGTCAATAATTATCATTCTCTCTCATTCCCTCCTTCCATCTTTCTTATCCATCGTTATTGTCCTTCCCACCATCCCCTCCTCCCGCCTGGATGTATGGCGGCCCACCAGTTGATAATGACTCAACAGCCGTCAATTCATCAATACCAGTCTGACACGCTCAACCCGCCATCAATCACAATGTCACAATAACACACACACACACACACACACACACGCACACACACACACACACACACACACACACACACACACACACACACACACACACACACACACACACACGGGGGGGTTGAGAGGCGGGACCAAAGAGCCAGAGCTCAACACCCGCAAACACAACTAGGTGAGTACACACACACACACACACACACACACACACACACACACACACACACACACACACACACACACACACACACACACACACACACACACGCACGCGCACGCACGCACACACACACACACACGCACACGCACACGCACACACACACACACACACACACACACACACACACACACACACACACACACACACACACACACGCACGCACGCACGCACGCCGCACAGGTCCAGCACAGGTTCAGCGCGGGGTCCGCCCGCCTGTCTCACTCTAGCGCCAATACTAACACCACTACCGCCTGGGACGCTACACACTGCTCCTGCCCTCTCGTCTGGGTATTCCGGTGAGTTGGGTATGGGTATGGCGACAGTTGGGGGGGGGGGGTGGTAGTGAGAGACTGCTGGTGGTAGGTGGTGGTGGTGGGCCTGGTGGTAGTATTATTGGATCGTGTTTTGGGAAGTATTTACCCATCGTGTTGACGCCCAAACAGTGGTTATATCAGATGTGTTGGTACCCACTGGTTATACCAGGTGTGTTGGTACCCACTGGTTATACCAGATGTGTTGATACCCACTGGTTATACCAGGTGTGTTGGTACCCACTGGTTATACCAGGTGTGTTGGTACCCACTGGTTATACCAGGTGTGTTGGTACCCACTGGTTATACCAGGTGTGTTGGTACCTACTGGTTATACCAGGTGTGTTGGTACCCACTGGTTATACCAGGTGTGTTGGTACCCACTGGTTATACCAGGTGTGTTGGTACCCACAGTGGTTATACCAGGTGTGTTGGTACCCACTGGTTATACCAGGTGTGTTGGTACCCACTGGTTATACCAGATGTGTTGGTACCCACTGGTTATATCAGATGTGTTGGTACCCACTGGTTATACCAGGTGTTTTGGTACCCACTGGTTATACCAGATGTGTTGGTACCCACTGGTTATACCAGGTGTTTTGGTACCCACTGGTTATACCAGGTATTTTGGTACCCACTGGTTATACCAGGTGTTTTGGTACCCACTGGTTATACCAGGTGTGTTGGTACCCACTGGTTATACCAGGTGTGTTGGTACCCACTGGTTATACCAGGTGTTTTGGTACCCACTGGTTATACCAGATGTGTTGGTACCCACTGGTTATACCAGGTGTTTTGGTACCCACTGGTTATACCAGGTGTTTTGGTACCCACTGGTTATACCAGATGTGTTGGTACCCACTGGTTATATCAGATGTGTTGGTACCCACTGGTTATACCAGGTGTTTTGGTACCCACTGGTTATACCAGGTGTGTTGGTACCCACTGGTTATACCAGGTGTTTTTTGATACCCACTGGTTATACCAGATGTGTTGGTACCCACTGGTTATACCAGGTGTTTTTTGATACCCACTGGTTATACCAGATGTGTTGGTACCCACTGGTTATACCAGGTGTTTTGGTACCCACTGGTTATACCAGGTGTGTTGGTACCCACTGGTTATACCAGATGTTTTTTGATACCCACTGGTTATACCACATGTGTTGATACCCACTGGTTATACCAGGCGTGTTGGTACCCACTCGTTATACCAGGTGTGTTGGTACCCACTGGTTATACCAGATGTGTTGGTACCCACTGGTTATACCAGGTGTTTTGGTACCCACTGGTTATACCAGATGTTTTTTGATACCCACTGGTTATACCACATGTGTTGATACCCACTGGTTATACCAGGTGTGTTGGTACCCACTGGTTATACCAGGTGTGTTGGTACCCACTGGTTATACCAGGTGTGTTGGTACCCACTGGTTATACCAGGTGTGTTGATACCCACTATTTATACCTGACGTGTTGACACCCACAGTGGTTGAGAGGTAATCAACCAGGTATCAACCAGGTTATACCAGATGTGTTGGTACCCACAGTGGTTATACCAGATGTGTTGGTACCCACAGAGGTACACTTTGTACCCAAAGGTGCCAGAATTTGACGAAAAACTGTACCCAAATGGATCCATGTGTGTCGTCCGGGGTTGATTGAAGGATTCGAACCCCAGACAACCGAGGCTACATGCACCTCAGTGTGTCTGGTACTTACTGGCTTGTTACACACGTGACTCCAACACGCGAGATGTTGGGGGACTGGTGGTGGTGGTAGGTGTGGTGGGTGGTGGCAGGTGTGGGTGGTGGTGGTGGTAGACTGATGGTGGTAGGTGTGGGTGGTGGTGGTGGGAGATGGTAGTGGCAGGTGTGGATGGTGGTGGGAGATGGTAGTGGCAGGTGTGGGTGGTGGTGGGAGATGGTAGTGGCAGGTGTGGGTGGTGGTGGGAGATGGTAGTGGCAGGTGTGGGTGGTGGTGGGAGATGGTAGTGGCAGGTGTGTGGTGGTGGTGGTGGGAGATGGTAGTGGCAGGTGTGGGTGGTGGTGGTGGGAGATGGTAATGGCAGTTGTGGGTGGTGGTGGTGGGAGATGGTAGTGGCAGTGTGGGTGGTGGTGGGAGATGGTAGTGGCAAGTGTGGGTGGTGGTGGTGGGAGATGGTAGTGGCAAGTGTGGGTGGTGGTGGTGGTAGACTGATGGTGGTAGGTGTGGGTGGTGATGGTGGGAGATGGTAGTGGCAGGTGTGGGTGGTGGGAGATGGTAGTGGCAGGTGTGTGTGGTGGTGGGAGATGGTAGTGGCAGGTGTGGGTGGTGGTGCTGGGAGATGGTAGTGGCAGGTGTGTCGTGGTGGTGCTGGGAGATGGTAGTGGCAGGTGTGGGTGGTGGTGGTGGGAGATGGTAGTGGCAGGTGTGAGTGGTGGTGGTGGTGGGAGATGGTAGTGGCAGGTGTGGGTGGTGGTGGTGGGAGATGGTAGTGGTAGGTGTGGGTGGTGGTGGGAGATGGTAGTGGCAGGTGTGGGTGGTGGTGGTGGGAGGTGGTAGTGGCAGGTGTGGGTGGTGGTGCTGGGAGATGGTAGTGGCAGGTGTGGGCGGGTTTGATATGGGTTGTGGTACTCAAGTAATTAAGCTTGCTGAAGTGGAACTACAGCTCTTTGGTCCCACCTCCCAGCTACCAATCAATCATCTGGTGAAATGGTTCTCTGAACCTGTTTTGCCACAATACAAGTTGTATATGGAGTCTGCCCCCCCCCAGACTTGATCCCACATCACATGTGTTAACTATTAAGTCAGTGAAATTAAACGAATCCTTTCCTGTATGCCCCCCCTCCCCCCACACAGGGGTTTGGTAGCTGAGTAGGCAGCGCGCGAGACTCATAATCCTGAAAACCGGGTTCGATTGCACTAGTCAGCTGCTGGAGAGTTAAAGATCAGTGGTAGTAGTGGGCATTAAAGAACAGGAAAGGCTCCAGTTGGACAGAATGAAATGGTAAGGACACTGCGGCAGTGATTGAGATCCTACAGGGGTTACAGATGGAAGGGGCTGGACAAAGCATACAGAAGGTTTTCAGGCTAGACTGTCACCTGCAGGAACAGATCCAGACTGCTAATCATGGGAGACTTCAACCACGGGAAGATAGATTGGGAGAACAGAGACCCGCATGGAGGACCAGAAACATGGAGAGCTAAGCTGCTGGACTTGGCGACAAGAAACGTTCTAGGCCAAGACATCAATGGACCGACAAGAATGAGAGAAGATGAACCAGCAATGCTTGACCTGATTTTCACTCTGAATGAGTCGGATATAAGGGAAGTTAAGGTGGAAGCCCCCTTGGGAATGAGTGATCACAGTGTACTGATATTTGAGTACTTGGTAGAGATACGAGTAATCTTGCTCCCCAAAAAATAGAAAACAAGGGGGTGGCATATCGAAAGTGAAATTATGAGGAAATTAGAAAATTCCTAAGAGAAATGCCATGGGACACAGAACCTAGAACTAGGACCGTATAAGACATGATGGACTATGTCACCTTAAAGTGTCAGGAGGCAGTAAACAGGTTTATCCCCCCCCCCCTAAAAAAAAAAGAAGCAAAACAAAAATCCATGGTTTAATAGGGCATGTATAGAAGCAAAGGAAAGGGACAAAATGACATGGAGGAACATGATGGACTATGTCACCTAAAAGTGTCAGGAGGCAGTAAACAGGTTTATCCCCCCCCCTAAAAAAAAAGAAGCAAAACAAAAATCCATGGTTTAATAGGGCATGTATAGAAGCAAAGGAAAGGGACAAAATGACATGGAGGAACTTCCAAAATAACAGAACAGCAGAAAGAAGAGAGAGATCCACGAGGTCCAGGAATGAGTATGTCACTGGGAAAAGAGAAGCAGAGACACTGTATGAAAATGATATAGCAAATAAAGCCAAGACCGAACCAAAACTGCTCCACAGCCATATCAGGAGGAAAAAACAGTGAAAGAACAGGTGATGAAACTTAAAACAGGCGAGGACAAGTACACAGAGAATGACTTAAGAGGTGTGTGAAGAACTCAACAAGAGATTCCAGGATGTCTTCAAATTGGAACGAAACGAAATCCTTGAGCTACGAGAGAGGGGCAGTAAACCAAGAGGCCATGGAAGGATTCAAAATTACCAAAGATGAGGAAAAAGAGGCATCTGTTGGTTCTGGACGTGAGATAGGCTGTTGGTCAGGACGGAATCTCACCATGGGTACTGAATGAGTGTGCAGAAGTACTTTGCTTGCCACTCTCCATAGTGGTCACTGGAGACGGGAGACCCAGAAATATGGAAGTACGGCTAATGTAGTCCCAATATACCAAAAGGGCCAGATAAAGGCCAGTGGCTTTAACGTGTATACCAAGCAAGGTGATGGAGAAGATCGTGACAAAGTACCTACTAACACATCTGGAGAGACAAGACTTCGTGACAACCCATCAACATGGGTTCAGGGAGGGTAAATCTTGACTCACAGGTTTTACAGATTTCTATGATCAAGTGACAAAGATTAACCAAGAAAGAGAAGGTTGGGCAGACTGTGAAGCAGTCTAGAGAAACAGGCAGGAGTAACTGGTAGGGTGCTCTAGTGGATAAGTGAGTACCTAAGCAATAGGAAGTAGAGAATTACAGTGAGGGGTGAGACCTCAGATTGGCGTGAAGTCACAAGCAGAGCCTCACAGAGTTCGTATTCGGACCTATCCTGTTACTGATATACGTAAGTGATCTCCCAGAGGGTATAGACTCATTCCTCTCAATGTTTGCTGTGATGCCAAAATTATGAGAAGGATTAAGACAGAGGAGGACAGCTTGAGGCTTCAAGAAGACCTGGACAAACTGAAAGAATGGTTCAACAAATGGTTGTTAGAGTTTGACCCGAGCAAATGTAATGAAGATAGTGAAGGGAGCAGGAGGCCAGATACAAGGTATCATTTGGGAGATAAAATTCTTCTAGAATCAGGGAGAGAGAGATA